GTGCACGTCCTGGCCAGAAGGTTCGCGTTTGGTATCCCGTTCTCGGCAGGTCAGCCCACCAGATCCCAAGGAGGTTCATCGTAAGTTTCAAGTTGTTTTCTCATTTCCCATGATTCTCAACTTGAAAACTTAGTTGACACAGCGCTCTATCAGAAGAAGATTGACTTTAGGTCCTTGAGCCCCCCACCGAACTTCGACATGCAGACGATGCAGCAGGAGATCAGAAGACTTGCTCATGGCCAAGCCGACCTCCTGCAGAAACTCCGAGACCAACAAGCGCAAGTCAGCGTCATGGAGTCGTCTACCCCTACTATGCGAGAGTATTCGGCATTTGTGGTCCGAAAACAAGATATTGACACAAGTGCCCTTCTCCCCCCGGCGGTTGACTCACCCGTGACCCTGTCACAACGTCTTTTGGCGCTCGAAGAGATTACCCGGTGTATTCAAGATCAAGATTTGGCTAGCCGTCCTCTGTCGGAGAAAATTGCAAGTCTAGAGACCTCCGTTTGGTTTCAGGAAGAAAAAATCACCGGAGCGACTCGCCGGATGGACCGTATTGAAGAGTCTGCCCACATGCGTTGGAAGGAAACACAAGAAGATTTGCAGTCCATCCGAAGTGATCACCAGAGACTGGAAGCCGAGGTGAGGGAAGCCGTCAAGACACTGGAGAACAAGTGGGAGACTACGCCAGCTGTGTTACAAGAGAGTCTCACCTGGGGCTTTGAGAAACTTGCAAGCCACATCGAAACTGCCGAGCTAACGCTCCACGACCTCACCAAATCAGTCACTACTATTTTGGAGCTCAACCTGCGGCTCAGTGCTCGCCAATCAAGTCTGGAATCGCTCATTATCCAGTTCCTTGGCAGCAAGGAGAAGAAGCACACTGGCATCAATACCGATCGCTCAGTCTCACCCGACCGCGGTCAGAAAAGCCAGCAGGTACAAGTCTCCCCGACCCCGGGTGTCGTTCTGCCAAACCCAGTTTCAACCGATCACACGCAAGTCTCTCCAACCCCGGCCGTCTTTCTGCCTCCAGCATCTGAGAGCCCAGCGGTCCTTCTGTTGGCGCCAAACCCAATTCCTCCAACCCGGGCAAGTTCGCCTGGTCCTTACATTGGGGGTAATAGGAAGTCACCTCGGCTACAGAAACTCGAACCCACACTTCAAACCCCCGCACAGAGTAAGTCTTCTACTTGGTGAGGATTCAAAAATCTGACTGCCAGCAAGTTACAAACAATGATGTCCAAACTGTCCAAACTCCCTCTACTTAATAGTTAGTAGCATACATGTATATTTTTTGGACAATCTTCAATTTTTTTTGGGCATATTTAATATGAAGTCCTGTGGTGGACATAATAATGAAAGCAGTAAGGCCTCGGCTTCTTTCATGACCCAGTAAACTGTGACCGGCAGAGAAAAGCGGGGGGATCTTGGAGCAACTTTGTCCAATGGAGACCAGCATAGTAACAGCTTGGCGTTTATTTCAGCCAGCCGAGTGCGGTTGTTTGAGCCAGACCCGTTCCAACATGGGTATGTTTACAAGAAACATTGGTCGGTATAAACTTGGTAGGGATTTGAACCGGGGGTGTGCATAA